GGCAACGCCCAAAACCAACGCAGCGCGCAAAGCAGTGAACACTGTGCGGCTCTACAAGGGGCTGAAGTCGGAGAAAAAGCTCATTGCCGGCTCGTCCGACAAGCAAAAAACGCTCGGCAAAAACTAGCGTCTACAAACAGCGCTTGGCCACCTGGCAGAGCGCAGAGAGGCCGCGCGGCGTGAGCTGCCGCTTGTTCGTCTTGGTGTCGAACTCAACAAAGCCCACGGCGCGCAACTGGATCAGGCAGTGGCGAATCACCTTGCCCGAGGCCAGCGCGCGGTGCGAGGGCGCGACGCCGTTGTTTGCGGCCTGGCCGTACTCGCGGCGCAACAGTCCGACACCACACTTGCCCTTCAGCGCGAGCTTGCGCAGAATTGACGCGGCGCGCGTGTAGTAGAAGTCCCGGTCGACGGGCGAGTTCTCGCGACTCGCGCCAGACTTTACGAACTCCATGAACACCGGCACCTCAAAATTGTCGAACCGCTTCAACTCCTTGGCCGTTTCGCGGATGAAAACATCGGCTGGCACGTCTTTTACCCCGTAGCGGTGGTTGTTGCCGACTACTGTGAACTCCATTCTGAATTCTTATTAAAATTATGCAACTAATTCTGTTTTGTCGAGATAGTCGCCGTTTGATTGCACATTGCCATGCTCAACATCGCGCTGCGCGCTGCGTCTCTGCGCCGCCGCGTCCCGCGTCGGCGCGCAACCTGCTAGCAGAATGCCGCAAACGAGAGACGCTGCGTGCGCCTCCGACGCCACCGTCATCGGGGTGGACGAGGCGGGCCGTGGCCCGCTCGCCGGGCCGCTCTCGGTCTGCGCGTTCATGCTGAAACAGCCCGCCGCGCAAGGCTGCGCCTGGCTCAGCTTGCTCAACGACAGCAAGGTTTTGAGCGACCGCCAGCGCCGCGAGGTCTACGAGCTGCTCCGTAAGTCGTCGCGCGCGGCACGCAGGCCGCGAAGCGCAAACTGAACAGATGTGGCACGACGAACGCCATGTCACCTACCGCTTCGTCGACGGCACAGGCTTTGCGTTCGTGCAGGCGGAAGTCGCTGTTGAGCTCGTCGACGAACTTAACATTCTTGAGGCCACGCTGCGGTACATGCAGGCTGCAACGCTGCGACTTCTGAGCCAGCACCTCGCGCAACTGCAGTCGCGACACGCGGACGGGCGCGCGCTCGCTCTGACGGTGCTCGTCTGCATTGACGGCAACCGCGCGCCAAAGACGCTGGACGCAGCGTTCCGCACGCTCGCTGAGAACTGCGCGCCGCACTGCACGCTGTTGCTTAGCGCGCAGACGGTCGTGGGCGGCGACGCGAAAATTCCTGCGATCTCCGCTGCGTCGATTGTCGCTAAGGTCGCGCGAGACGACTGCATGCTCGCGCTCGACAAGGCGCACCCGGAGTACCAGTTCGCGAAACACAAAGGCTACGGAACTGCCGCGCACCGCGCGGCAATCAAACGGCTGGGGCCCTCGCCGCAGCACAGGCTCACCTTTGAGCCGACGCTCGGGCTGATTCTGAGCCGCGCGTTCCCCGTGCCCGCGCAACGGAACCTCGCGATGCTCTGCGTAAAAAAGTCCGCTCGCCAGAAGCTTCAGAGTTTGCTGAACACTGCGTAGCATCCCGCGACGCGCTCGCCGAACGGCGCAGCCGCCTCGCCGCGGGCCTGCTACGCAGCCTGCTCGCGGCGGAACTCGCGGCACTGGCTGCCGTCCACCGCTCGCCCGAACCGGCGCACCGAGGTGATGCCGCAGCCGCTGTCCCAGTCGCAACGAATGACTTGGCCCAGAAACTTGATGCCGTTGATGAGACTGATCGCAAAAGAAGCTTCCACGTGCGTCGCGAACTGCACGAACGCGAACCCGCAGGTCGCGTTGTTCTGCCGGTTAAGCCCGATTATCACGCGAATCACGTGCCCGCACGTCGAGAACAAACACAACAGGTCCTCCTCCGTCGTCTCCTTGTTCAGGTTGCCCACGTACACGACGTTCGAGTTGTTGATTCGCTGATTCCACTCCGCGAATGACACGCCTGCGGCGCTGCGGCCCGCACCTACACGTTCGCTTGTCCCAGTACAGCGGCTGTCTCTTCACCGAAGCGTACAGGTCTGACATCTTCAGCTCGCTGTCAGTTGCACAAATCGCATCTGCTTTATAAATTAAAAACGGAATTTAGCCAGTCGACCTCGTCGCGCAGTGGAATCTCGCAGCTTTCCTGCTCTGCAGCTCGCAGCGCAAGAGCCCGTTTCCTGCTGTGTCTGTGACTGCACCGAGTTCAGTGACGAGGTCGCCTTCGCGTACTCCTACGACTACGCAGCCGGTGCGCACAGCGGCAAAGTGCTGCAGCTGCGGAGAACCGCAGACGACCGCGTGAGCTGCGCCCCGGTGCTCGCACTGGACTTCGGCACTTACGCCGCGCAAGAGAGTGGCGACGCGGTTTTCCTCGCGACCACGCGCGGCGCCGTCTACCGCCATGCAAAAGCGACTGGCGAGGTCGCGCCTCTCGCGATGGTGTGCGACGCAACGCTTTCCTCGGTCTTCGTCAGCGACGTGAGTGCGCTCGTCGGTTGCACGAGCAGCGCAGGACACGTCGCAGTCGTCGATGCAGCGGCGCACGGCGCGCTCATGTTCACCGCGCAAGAACCCGTGGAAGCGTACTGCGGCTGCTTTCTGGACGCAAACGTGTTTTTGGTCGGCGGAGAAACGCAGAACTTGACTCAGTACGATCTTCGCGGGCAGCGTCCCTCGCGGCTTGCGCACAAAGACGAGTTTGCAGCGACCGTCGTTTCGGTAGCGCGGCTGAGCGACCACTTGCTCGCTGTCGGCTCGTACGACGACTACATCCGCGTGTTCGACACGCGCAACCCAGAGCGAGCGCTCTTCCGCGACTATTTGGGCGGCGGCATGTGGAAGCTGCGCGTCTTCGGCGACGGCTTCATTTCCGGCCTTTGCGGCGGTGGATTCGCAGTGTTCGACAAAACACTGCGCAGCCACCGAATATTCGCGCTCCCCGCGCCAAACGCGCTCTGTTACGCCGCGCTCGCGCTTCGCGCGGGCCGCGCCGCATTAACGTTCTCGTTCTACGAGCACGAAATGCAGGTGTACAGCGCGGCGGCTGAATGACGCAAAAGGGTGCACGCGGATTTGAACCGCGGACCTGCTGATCTGCAGTCAGCTGCTCTACCCCTGAGCTATACACCCTTGTTTTGCAAACGCTGCTCATCCAAGGACGCCGCGCTCGGCGAGCGTGGCCTCGGCCGCCAGCAGCTGCTCGAACTGCAGCTCGGTCCAGAGTGCTTTGTACCGCTGGTACAGTGTTTCGCCGGCTTGATACACGATATTCCCGACAGAGTTGTACAGCCGACAGTTCGCGAACACCAGCTCCAGGTGACTCGAGAACTCGCTGATACGTTTGTAAATATGTGTTTTCAGTTTCTGCTTAATAGTCCCCAGGTCCATCGGATTCTTGATCACGTCGTAGTAGTCGGGGCAGTTGCACACCACTACGTCGACGGGTTTCGAGAACCAGATGCTTTCCTTCATGCTGCACAGCCGGAACACCAACTCGAGCGCGGCACTTGTCCAACGCTGGTAGAACTCTGGACAACGATAGCCGCCGTCCGACACGGCGCTGCTCCAGGGCGAAGCGAGCTGCTGGCTGCCGAACAACTCGGCGAGCTCGGAAGCGAGTGGAATCACACTGAACTCCAGACCATCCGCGACGGAGACGCACTGCACCAGCCGATACGGCGCCGTCTGCTCCGATCGCGCGCTCTTCGTGACGTCGTTGATGAATTGGCACACGCGCGTAAAACCCTTCTCCTTAGCGTAGAAGTAAATCGTCTTGCGCAGGTAGTCTTTGTAGTGCAGATTCGCGCCGAGCTTGAACAGCAACTGCAGCGCCTCGAGCCGGCCATTGCGCGCCGCGTAAAAACTTGCGGTCTGCAGCAGCCGGTCTCGGTGGTTTGGGTTGCAGCCGCTGTCCACCAGCAACTGGATCACTTCGCAGCGGCCTTCGCGCGCAGCGTAGAACAGCGCGGTTTGCTGCGCGAGGTCGACGCAGCTGGCGCTGCAACCGCGCTGCAGCAAAAACTGCGCGCACTGCAAGAAGCCGTCGCGCGCTGCGAAAAACAGCGCGGTCTGACCGTTCAAGTCCTTCGTGTCGCATTTGCAGCAGCCGCGCTGCTCTGCCAAGTAACGCACCAACGCAAAAGCCTTCTCGTCCGACTGGAACTGCACGGCGCGGAACAGCAGCGCCGCTTTAGTTACCGGGTCTACCGCAGCCAAGGTTTCATCGTCGCTGTGTGGGCCGTCTCTTTACTTACGTAGCCTCCCACACGGCGAGCACCTGCGCAGGCTCCTCTTGCAACAAAACGTCTAGATGGCTCATGCGCTCGCAGAGCCTATGTCGCGGAAAGCGTCCAAACGACTTTTCCTCCGCGCTATATTAATAATAATTGAGCGAACTTATAATGGCGGACGCCGACTTTGCTAAGAAAGCCGATCAGGGTTCCCCGCTCGAGACTGCAGCTCGCGCTGTGGCGGAGCACAAATACTCACTCGCACTCAATCTCTACGCGAACGCGCTGCAGCAGAGCGTCTCTTCGGCAGAGAAGCTGCGCTTGCACTGCAACCTCGCTCTGTGCAATCTCAAGCTGGAATTTTACGCGGACGCGCTCGCACACTGCGAGTCGGCGCTTGCGCTTGACGCGAACTGCGCGAAAGCGTACTACCGCGCGGGCCAGTGCTACATCAACATGCAGCAACCGGGCGAGGCTGCGAAGTTGCTGAAAACTGGCGTGCAACAATGCGGCGACCCGGTGCTAAAGCACTTGTACTCCGTCGCAGTCAAGCAGCATCGCTTGCTGGAGCTCAGCGCGTGCATCGACGTGCCCGATGCAGTTCCGTTATTCCTAAGCTACACGGAACTCGATCCCGCGTTTGCGCAGAGCTACGTGGGTCCCGCGTTTCCGCGGCTACGCAAAGGCTCGCCGGAGATGGTGCACGAACTGATTGCGTTCTTCAAGGCGGATACTGCAAACGCTCTGCAGCCCGCGATAATTCGCTTTCTTGCGGCGCAGTGCGCGCTGCTGCACGAAGCGTTGCCCAACGTTTGCGACATCTCGCTGGCCGAGGCGCCGGAGGACTGCATCGTCAGCGTCTTCGGCGACATCCACGGGCAGTTCTACGACTTGATCCACTTTTTAGAGACGTTTGGTCTACCTAGTGCCAGCAACGTTTTCGTCTTCAACGGCGACTTCGTCGACCGCGGCAGCTTCAGCCTCGAGTGCGTCGTTCTGCTGTTCTACATGAAGCTGATCTGGCCCGACTTCATTTTCCTGACGCGCGGCAATCACGAGTCGCGCGAGCTCACGCAGTTCTACGGCTTCCGCAACGAGACGATCCACAAGGCTGACGAGCTGACCTACAACGTGCTCATCGAGTCGCTCATGCGCCTGCCGGTAGCCTACGTGCTCGCGCGCGCCGTCTTCATCGTTCACGGCGGGTTGCCGCGCAACTCGGACGTCTCGCTCGAGCAGATCAACGCGCTGAACCGGCTCGGAAACGACGACATCATCCGCGACCTGCTGTGGGCTGACCCCGCTGAAGAGGCCGGCTCACACTCGAGCAAGCGCGGCGTAAGCCACATGTTCGGCCCGGATTTCACCGAGCGCTTTCTGCACCGCAACGCGCTGAAGCTCGTGATCCGCTCGCACGAAATGAAAGATGAAGGCTACGAAATCATGCACGACGGAAAACTGATCACCGTCTTCAGCGCGCCGAACTACTGCGACACGATGAACAACTCGGCGGCAGTCATTCGCTTTACCAAACGGCAATTGCTGTCTTCCGCGCCGGTGCTCGAATATAAAATCGAAAAATTTCACCAAACCGACAAAGTGCCGGTGCCCTCGATGCACTACGCGTCGCTGCCGCACTAGTCGCTCGCAATGTCTTCCGCTTCTGCCGCGCGGCCTCAGTTTCGCGGCGCCATCCCGCGTAACGCCTCCCGCTTTCTGTACGTCGCAGGGCTGCCAGGCGAAGCCAGCAGCGAAGCGCTGTACAAGTTGTTTTCGCCGTTCGGCTCGATAACGCAAATTGTGCAGGGCTTCGAACTGGCGACCAAGGGCACCGCAATCGTCGTTTTCGACGACGTTCTATTCGCTCACCGCGCGGCGACTGAGCTGAACGGCTACAACTACCACGGCCGCTTCCTGCAGGTAAACTACTACATGCCCGAAAAATTCCGGCCCGAAAAGTGCGTTTAGTCCGGAAAATAGCTTTTACAATATTTTAAACGTTCCCTCAATGAAGCACGCATTGCTCAAGTCAAAAAAACGCTCAGAGTTTTCCTCCCTTGTGCCGGCAGCGATTTATGCCATGACGAACAAGCTATCCGCTACCGGCGTCAACTCCTACGGCGGACGAGACGCCATGTCGACGACCTGCAATCTGCGCAATCAGGAGCCGAAGGATGAAGCGATCATCCTCCAGCGGCTCTGCGAACAACCTGACTACGAACTGCTCACAGACACTTCTCGCCCTCCAACGAAGTTGCACCTCCGTCCGAGCTACGTGGCGAACCAGGACTGCATGCAAGCCGACTCTGGTGTGACAAAGAAAAGCATTCGGCTCAAAGCCACCGCAGCTACCAGACGAAAGTACGCAATTGGCGGCGCCGTCTCCGCCGCGGCGACCGGGATAGTGCTTTGCTACTACGGTAAAATTTGCGACATGCTGGGCGTCAAGGGGGCAACCGGGAAGAACGAAAACAGCGACGAAGCGGGTCGCCGCTACGACGAGGTTTGGGAGCGCTTTGAGTAACAATTTTTATCCCACAGGACACGCGCAGCGCCAGCATTTTTATAGCTAACTTTCGCTCTCGTTGGTCAAAGCCAGCGCCAAGCGTTTGCGCAAATCAATTTCTGAAATTTCGCACTGCTTCGACCATAGCAGTTGCAAGCACGTCGAAATCAGCTCGTTCTCCACGCGTTGCAACTCGGAGCTCACCTCGAGTTTGATGTTCTCGATGCTGTTCGCGTAGTCCGCCTTGAGCTTCTGGTTCTCGCGCTCGAGCGCGTGATACGCGTCTTCCAGCGACTCGACACGCGCCTGCGCCGCGTCGTTCGCGAGCTTCTCGATCTGCTCCCCTTGCCGCAGCGCTCTTTGCTCAAGCTCAACGCAGTGGTCCTCGAGCAGCCGCACTTTGTGTTCAGCCTCTTCGGTTGCCTTGTCCGTCAAGAAGCGGTAGCTCTCGATGATGGTCTTCACCTTCTGCTTGCAGGCTTCTTCAAACTTCTTGCAGTTCGCTTCGCTCTCGCGTTGCAGTTCTGTCTGAATGCGCGTCGCGCGTTCCTTCGCGCGCTTCGCGCTTTCCAGCGCCGCTGTGGCGACTCTGCGATACTTCTCGAGCACACTCTCGACTTCCACCAGCAGCTCGCGCCGCACGTCGCCGAGCGCGATCAAGAACTCTGTCTGCAACTCTTCCACGTACGCCTCGTATCGCGTCTGAAGTTTCACTCGCTCGCTTCGTTCGTCTTGCAGCTGCACCTGCAGCTGCCGCTTGTCCGGCTCACCGTCGTTGCGCGCCGCCGCCGAGTGCTTTGCGCGCTGCGCCGCAGCATTCAGCTCGCCGCGCAGCGTTTCGTTCGCGGAACGCAGTCGGGTGAGTTCCGTTGTTGCGCGCCGCGAATCAAGTTCTGGGCTCGACTTGTACAGTAGCGCACGCTGCTTGTCTATGCCAGCGAGCGAGACACTGCTCGATGATTCACTCGCAGCCATCGCATGCCAAAATCTATGCACCTCGACAGACAAAAATCGAAAATGATGCGCTACGCCCGATCCGGCTGTGACGCAGCTGCTTCGCGCCGCGAACGCGACGCGTATTAAAGGCTATTTTTAAAAGCGTCAGAAAATGCGCGCGCAGCGTCTATTTTCCGCGTCATCCACGCATCTGCTGCGCGGCTGCGTCGTCTGCGCGCTACTCGCCTCCTATGTACAGTTGCTCTGTCTGCACACCGTAACTGCGCGTTACCCTTGGTACATGCTCGCGGCGCAGGCGCTCAGCTGCGCCAACGCGCTGAGCGCATACGCCGTAGCAGCAGCCGCCAAGCCGCGCTACTGCGCGCGCGAAGAAGTGCACACCGCCGGTGCGGTGCTCTGCACGGAATGTGAAGGAATCGTCTACAAGACCCCGAACGCGCATCACTGCTCACGCTGCCGCCGCTGTGTGGTCGGCATGGATCACCACTGCCCCTGGCTTGGCCACTGCATCGGCGTCGACAACCTCGGCCCGTTCCTGGTCTTGCTCTGCTGGGGCGAGGTCTACGCGCTCACTGCGTTCGCGAGCACGTTTCCCATCTGGCTGTATCAGTGCGTTCACTTCTCGGCCAGCCAGCGTGGCGTGCACTACTACGCGCTCACCGGGCTTTGCTTCGTAGCGCTCGGCGCGTTAGCCGCGCTCGGCTGTCTGCTGCTCGCCGAGCTGGCGCTAATTGCGCGCGACACCACCATGGTAGAGGCCACATACGGGAAGCGTAACCGGAGCCAGAAGGAGCGCACGCTCTTCGAATCGCTGCGCGCTTCCGACGCCTGCTCGCTGCTCGGCTGCCTGGTGCCAATCACCTCGCTTCTGAGCCAGCGCCGTCGCACGCGCAAAGAGCAGAAATTCGCAAACGCCGAATCTGCTGTCACAGGACTAACGATGCTGCCACACACGCACGCTGCGCTAGTGTGAGTGGCAGTGACGTTGCCGCTGCTTCCGCAACTCGCGAGTAAAAGCCTCTCCGAGTGCATGCGCTTGGCCGCGCACGGGGTGCTGTCCGGCAGCGCGAAAGCGACTATTTAGGGCTCCGCCCTTATTACAAAATTTATCATTTTTTGAGCAATTTCGTCGCGGAATCTGATCATCCGCCAACTTGCCCGAACTTGCCGTTGCGCTTCCGATTCATGGTCGCCGTGCGCTGTTCGCTTCGCCAACTTTTGCAGTTCCGTTCATGACCGCCGCCGACTTCACCGTCAACTCCTTCCTCGCCGCGCAGCGCCGAGGCTTCAGCAACTTGGCACTGCTCCCTGCCATTACGCTGCCGCGGATTGCTGAAGAACTCAGCCACCGTTTCGCGCTCGACCTCATCTACACTTACTGCGGTCCGGTGCTGCTCTCGCTAAACCCGAACCGCAATATCGCGTCCGCGTACACAACGGAACTCAAAGACTTCTACAGCCCGCCCGCTGCTGCTCGCACGCGGCTGCGTGCCGCGCCTGTGCCGCACATCTTCGATGTCGCGCGGCGCGCTTACGAAACCGTAACGCAGCAAGGCGTCCCGCAGTGCATCATAATCAGCGGCGACAGCGGCTCAGGCAAGACCGAGAACGCAAAGTACATTCTCCAATACCTCTGCCACCAGAGCTTGCGCCGCGCGCGCGCGTCCGAGAGCAGCTTCTCCGTCGAAGCTCTGCTCTACCGGCTCTGCAACGTGATCGAGGCGCTCGGCAACGCTAAGACGATGCTCAACGCCAACTCTTCGCGCTTCGCACGCTATCTGCAGCTCGACTTTGCGCGCGGCTCTGGCGAGCTGCGCCGCGCCAGCATTTATTCCTGCCTGCTCGAGACGGCACGCGTCGTGCACCAGCAGCCTGGCGAGCGCAACTTCCACGTCTTCTACCATTTCCTCGCGAGCCTCCTGCGGACTTCCGCAGCCGGAGAGCCCGAGTGGGACGACACCAACCCGCTTGCCGCCGCGCTGCACGACTGCGGTCTCGCGCCCCGGCACTTGTTGCGCTCGCGCTACGTGAGCGATACAAACTTCGTAATCGAGCACTGTGACGCTCTCCGCGCCACCTTCGCCGCCTGGACTGCCGACCTGTGCGAGGCCGTCGACGCGGCGCAACTCGCGACGGTGGCGAAAACGCTGCTCGTGATCGTGCTGCTCGGCTGCCTCGAGTGTGAGACGAATGCTAGCGGCCACGCGCAGATCGCTGCCGCGTCTGCGCCCGCTCATGCGGCGCTCGCGCAACTGCTCGCCGTCAGCGAACCGGCACTTGCGCTCTTTCTCACGAGCAAAACGCTCTTCGCCTCGCGGGAGAAGCTGAAATGCTCGTTCACCCCGCACCAGGCCTACATCACCGCAGATTCGCTCGCCAAGCAGCTCTATGCTCGCGTCTTCGACTTCCTGCTCGCACTCGTCAATTCCAAGCTCTCTGCGTCGCTCGGCAGCGATTCGCACCCGGAGCTCGTGACTTGTGGCATTCTGGATATCTTCGGGTTCGAGGCGCTGCAGTCCAACAGCCTTGAGCAGCTCTGCATCAACTACACCAACGAGAGGCTGCATGTCTACTTCGTCAAGGAAATGATTGACGAAGAGCTGCGCGTCTACGCGGAAGAGGGCGTCAGCTTGGACAACGCGCCCCAACTCAGCACCTCCGGCTGTCTGCCGTTCTTCGACGCGCAGCTCGGCGCGTTCGCGCTGATCGACGAGGAGTGCGTGCTGCCGGGAGGCTCGAGCGCCGCGCTCGCTTCAAAGTTGCGCGCGCTCGCGGTTGAGCTCGGCGTAGCCGAAGCGCAGAACTTCCGCGAAAACGACTTTCTCGTCAAGCACTACGCCGGACCCGTCAAGTACACCACAGACGACATGATCCGCCGCAACTTGCTCGCGCTGCACTCAGAGCTCGAGGCTTTCATTCGATCCACCGCACTCGCCTGTTTATCGACCGACGACGCATCCCGCGCGCGACACGACAGCTCACTGAACTCGCGCATCAAAACGACAATGCTCAAACTGTTCAAGCGCGACCTAAACTGCACGCTCGATAGCTTCAAAGAGTACGGTTTGCTCTTTGTCAAGTGCATCAACGCGAGTCACCCTAACGACCCGGCTCTGCTGGACGTTGCAGTGTTGCACGACCAGTTCGCGAAAGCTGGCCTACTTGCGCTGCTGCAGCTCCGCGCCAGCGGGTTCGACTACCGCATTCAGTGCGCGCAGCTTTTCTCAGCACTGCAGCCGCTCAGCAAAAACTGTCGCGCGCTCCGCGGAGCGTCGCGCGCTGCGAATCTCGACAGCTTCAGCTCGTTTTTGCAGTTCGAGGCGCTCCTAACCGCCAACGAAGCCGACGACTCGCTCGGGCTCGAATCGACTGAAGTCCGCGCCGCCGCCGCAGCCGCGCTGAAAAGCGCGTTGCGCGAATTCGGACTAGGCGACGAGCTCGTATTCGGACGTACGCGCGTCTTCGCACAGAAAGCGTTCGTGCAGCAGCTCTTCGCGGTGACGTCGCTGCGGCTCAACCGAGCCGCGCGGCGCGTCACCGCCGCGATGCGCAGCCTCCGTCGCCGCAACGAACAGCGGAATCGTGACCTCGCGGCGGCGCGCACAATCATTCGAGTTCTGCGCGCTTTCAGTCTGCGCATGGCGTACAAGCGCATTCGTGCGCTGCACCGCAGCACGCTGCGTCCGATCCGCCGCTTGAGCTTGGCGGCGCTACGGAGTGCAGCTGCTCGCGTTAAGCGCGACGCAGAACTTGCGGCTGCGCGCGCAGAGAAGCTCGAAACCGAGCGGAACCAGCAGCCTGAAGCTGCATGCGGCAAGTCGCAACAGGAAACGGCGCAGAGTGCCGAAATGTCACCGGTTGCGCTGCTGACGCCGGTAACGACCAATTCGTCGAGTCCGCAAAGCCGCGCGGAGCCGCTCGTGTCGCCTAAAAAATCAACGCGGAAGCTGGGCTCGTTTGTGCCGTGTCGCACGATTGCGTTCGAACACGAATACCGCGACAGCACGAGTCCTTCGAGTGTTGCGTACATGACGTGCAGTTCGCGACCAGAGTCTGCGCAAAATTGCGCCGCAGGCGCTTCGCCGCCGTTCTACCGCTTCAAAAGCGATCCGCTGCATCGCCGTCTGTTTCCGTACGAACTGAGTCCCGAAACGAAAGAAAACATGCTGCAGTTCCGGCAGCAGAGCGCTTCGTCAGCCGCAGCGACGCAGCAGCAGACGCCGAAACTCACTGTGCTTCACTACAACTGCCAGGACGTGCTTCTGGCGCTGCAAACGACGATGGACGTCGACAAAAGTTTACTCAAAGCGTACTTTTTCCACCACCTAGAGTCGACCGACAGCCTAGACGCGCTGCACAGCGAACCGGTTTTGGTTTCCTTCAGTTGCGAGAACTATATACGCACTGCGACTCACGCCCATCGCATCCTTTACTTGTGCAGATCGGACAAAGACTCGCACTTTCTGCGCGCCAAAGGCGCGCTTTTCTGCAAGCATAACGATTACGCAGGTATCCTGAAAGCACTGAGCACGCTAGGCAAACAGCGGATGCGGACGCATTCCGAGCACGCTGCTGTGCAGAACAGCTTGCAAAACTTTGGCGTCACCGCGAGTTGGCTGAAAAAGAACATACAGAAGTGCGGCAGAAGGCTGATTGACACAATTGGCCCGAAGAAAATACTTAGCAGCCTGCTGACCAGCGGCAGACTGCTCGGCTCTGCCGACATGTCGCGCCCGCCGCTGCCGGCGTCGGTATTCCAAAGTCCGTGCATCATCGGCGCGGTGCCTGTGTTGGAAGAGCGGTTGCTGCTCCTGCGCGCGTCATTAGACTATTGTGTAGTCGACGCGACGCAGTTCGCCCACGCCGAAAACGCGTTCGATGTGGCCGCGGACTGGCT